TATGAAAAAGTCATTAAATATTTCTGCAATTTCATTATTTTCAAAAACATCTCCTTTATTATCATCTCTTTGCAATCTATGTGGTAAATTATCGATTTTCACACATCCTACTCCTATTATTTCTTTAATTAAATTCCATGTTTTTCTTGTTTTAATATTCAAAAAATTCAAATTAAAATCACCCAATAAGTAAATGTTATTTTTTACAAGCTTAGGCAGCAAGTAGTTTAAGTGGTTTTCAAATTGGTTGTAATTACCATTTGGGGTCTATATAATGCTGTTATAAATGTATTTTTATTTGTTTTATTAACTATTTCAATAGTAAATGACTCACAATCAACATCATTGACTCTGAGGTTATCTATATGCCTAAAAGTCAAAGAATCTTAAACGAAAATAGATACTCCCCAGCCAATACCGTTCTCCCTCGGTTGATGAATGGGTTTGTATCCTAATAATTAAAAGTTAAAGTTAGGGTTAAAGGGTTAGGGTTAGGGTTGACCTTGACAAGTTGCATCCATAAAACATCGGTTGTTTAGTCGGTAGAAAACCAATTCTTTTTAAAAATTTTTTTTTTTTTTTTTGAATTTTGATTGAATATTGAAGTAAGATTTTTTGCATTAATAATATCCTCGTTTCGGTTGCGAGTTATTTTCTCATTGTCATCCGTGGTTAAAATATTCAATTTATTTTTAAAAAACATAAACTTTTTACTGCGAATAAGTAAATTTTTATCAGTTGTTGCCATATTTTTTCCGAGAAATGACTTGAATATTCTGTATTAAAAGATCTAGTAACAAAATCTGAACCATGCAAGAGAGAAGGAATTACATATTTGCCCTTATTATAGACGCCGTTAAAAATTCTCCAGAAGTCTCTGGAGCCTAATTTTTGTGATAAAATGTAATATTTCGTGACCTAAGAATAGAGATTTTTGGTATAAGTCAAAATCTGTTTACAATGGTTTCTAACAATAGTAAACAGATTTTTTCTAGAGAATTGTTTTGAAGATAGATTTCTAAGTAATTGCTGCAGCACAATGAAAGGAAACCAAAGGAGAAGAGTGAGGCTTAACTTTGAACCATTGAGAGTGAATAAAAGATTTCATGCCAATCTGAATCCACGAAGTTATGTAAGAAGCACATGTGTCAGCAGAAAGACGGAAGATTTTTACTCAAGAACCATTACAAAGAAAATCACGGAATCCTAACCAGCTTTAGGGTATTCTATAGATTCTAATGATAAAAAATAATGAGATAATAGTTTAAGAAAGATCAAACTGTAAAATCAAAAGCACCTAAATGTGTAGTTAATGAGAATGTGTAGTAACTGAGAACTGACTAGGATTAGAAACAAGACGTATGCCGAATAGAGAAAGCAAATGGTTTGGATTGTCTGTAAAGCGAGTTAAGAATTTGACTATTTGTGTTAGAAATTGAGAAAGACAAATGTTGTGGGCTTTGGTGAATTCTAACGAATATAGATGCCCAAACCAAGCATGTGTCTATTAAAGTCTTTACAAACTAAAGGAAAATAACCATCAAAATAAGAACTACAAGACGAGACAGCTGAACTCAAATTAGTCTCACAAAGAGTAAGTAGGTCTGGTAAACTTTGCAAAAGATAAGACTTAACAAAAGAACAGTTACTTTGAAGACCGCGAATATTAGTGAATGATAGATATAGAGAACTTGGTAATAATAATGGTTTTATGTGTTTTATAGTTTTTGGCACTTCGGTCATTTTGGTTTTGTTACTCAAATACTATTCAGTAAACTATTTAATCGTCCAAGCAATTGCCTTATAACAATAAATAAACCTTAACCCGTAACAAAGTGGTAAAAACATGGCCTCGCAAATACACACCAAAAGTACAAACATGGGACACCATTAATGCGTAACAAGGTACTGTTAGTACTCTGATACTTTACAACTGCTGATTGAACCAGCCTCTCTGAAAGCTACCAAAGAGTTCATTAAACCTGAATACCAGCCGACCTCAGAACCATGAAACTTAATTTTAGAACTGTGTCCTCATTAGGTGGTAATAGAATAAGTTGCCCAGTCATAAATCACTAGAGTCACAAACAAAACCTATGTATTGAGTCAAAAAAATCCTGCATTCAACGTCCTAAACTAAAAAATAAATTATAAATACATCTACGCCAGCCTAATAGATGAAGAAAGGGTTCAATGCTGGTCAACAGATACAATCTGTTTAACCCCAATAAACTTTATTATCATCTTACTGACAATAACACAGTGAGAAAAAAAGTTTTCAGCATATATTTGTTTTCGGTCATGCAATATTGAGTCAATGTACATTTTGCTCTATTTATAACTTATTAAGTTAAGCTTATGAAAACTATGCTTTGTTATGCAATGTTTGTGAAAATTTTCCAGGTGAGAGTTTTGGAACATACATTATTGGTGTCACACTAATTTTTACTTTTATTTGCCCCAACTATACTAACTTGTGACCGATAATAAACTTTTTTGTATCACCAATCAAATAAAATTGACTTACTCCTCCTAAATGTGTGACACAATTAAATAACGTCTCCTTTTTTAGGTTGTAACTAATCAAAGCTGTTTTAAACGTTTTAAATTACTTAAAATCTAAACGTGGTTTTATCTGAATAATAAATGCGAGAATTGAAACTTTAAAAATAAAATCAATTTAATGTTTAGGCAAGTTTGAGTTAGGTTTAAATCTTGTTTAATTATTTAGTTTATCTAAGTTTTAATTTAATAAAAGTTAACTTCATTTTTTGTTAAAATAGTTATAACTATTTTATATATTTGTAGATTAGATTGCTAATTTGGATTAGAAGATATAACCATAATTTTTTTGAATGCTGTTTCATATCTTCGCCCCTCAATATGCTCTATTGTAAAAATCTATAGCATTTCAATTTTTAAGTGTTTTTTACATTTAGGGGACACCCATAAATTTTTGTTTTTTTTGTTTAACAAAGTAATTTATTTAACAAAAGTAGATACTGGACTTGCAACAAAATAAAGTAGATAGGAACTCAAAGGAGATAAAGATAACATTACGTAATCACAACCTTTTCATAAAGTCAGTTCAAGTTTAATATATCGTAATGATAAAAAATGTTATAATTGCAATTAAAAGTAATAATAATAAGAAAGTTACTGTTAAAATAATCAAAATACAAATAAATAGAAAAATTTTTTGAGAACGTTTAAACTTATATTGCGTATTGTGCATTATAAACATGTCGCTAACTATTTTTAAGATTGTTATTGTTTATACCATAATGTTTGATTTTTCTAAGAAAATCCAACGATCAATCCTGTCGAATGCTTTAGATAGGTCTATAAATGTTCCTTAGGCGAATTTGTTATTGTCGAAATCATCAGTTAATTAGTTGACTATTTCAATAACTGTATGCTCAGTGATTTTTTTTGAAATCCGAACTGTTTTGGGTAGAATAAGTTGTTTTTAGTGAAGTTTTCGAATATTCTGTTACAAGTTATGCGTTTAATAAATTTTGAGAATACAGAAAAAAATAATATAGGTTTATAGTTTGTAATATGCGAATGATTTTTAGATTTTTAAGTTGGGATTTTTTTAGCTATTTCAAGAGCATCATCGAAAATACCAAATATAAATGAGAGTTTTAGTACATGAAACAGATGTTCGTTTATGGTAATTTTATTAAGAATAACTATATTAGAAATATACTAGAAATTTTATTATATTCTAGGATTTTTTTTTTTAAAGACAGGTATTCTGCTTCGAATTCTTTATAGTTTAATTAATTGATGTGCAATATTTTGTCATTTGAGGATTTTAGATTTTATTGGCAAAGATTTGGGGCAACATTTGTGAAATATTTGCCGGTATACAACTCATTTGCCGACAAATACTTGTTGGTAAATAAATGATACCTGTAGATGGAGGATGACGGGGAAGAGAAAGGAGGAGAAGTAGGGAGTGCTGAAAAGTCTGGCAATAATTGGTAATGCAGAGAGAGAGGGCTGTTGAGATCAAAACGATGTCAGTTTTAAAAAGCGTTTCAAAAAAGGTTTTTATAATTGACATTATTCGGATATTTAAAAAAATTGTTTTTAAAATTGACATCGTTTTAATCTCAACATCCCTCTCTCTGCATTTCCAATTATTGTTATTTCATATTAATTTGAGCACTCCCTTCCCTCTTCTTTCCTCTCTCTTCTCATCCTCTATCTACCAATATCATTTATTTACCGACAAGTGTTAAAAATATAAGAAATTTTTTTTTTTTTTAAATATTATATTTACGCTATCTATGAGCATGTTTCTATATGAAAATAATATTTATGGAATCATTTATGGAAGGCTCCTTAATCTTAGTTTACACTTTCTAGTTATACTTATAATCTATGTTTATAAGAGAGAAATTTTTGTAAAAGTGATTATTATTATAAATTTATTGTTATTGTAATTATTCCTATCATTATTATTATTATTATTATTATTGCTATTATCATTATTATTATTATTATTATTATTATTATTATTATTGTTATTACTGTTATTATTACTATTTTTGTTATTTACATTATATAATAATAATAATAATAATAATAATAACAACAATAACAATAATAAGAATAATAATAATATTAATAACAACAATAATAATAAAATAATATAATACTAAAATGTATATTATTGTAAATAAAATAACGTCTATAAATGTTGGTTTACAAAAATATTATTATTTATTCTGGCTTTTATAAAATATGCGTTTTAAAAACTTTTCATTGGTTACTTAAAAACCTTTTGTTTTATATTTGCTTTTTTCCTTATTTAATTTGAAATACGCAATGACAAACAATGCAATAACTTTTATGACACTTTATTGAAAAATTTTTCAATAAAGTGTCAGAACGCAATATTGAATTTATAATTGTTAAATTTATAAAATAGTTTAAAAATAAAATTTATTTTTATAAAAAAAAAATTTGAAAGAAAAAATAAATAATTTTTATTTTTTGTTTAAAAAGATTATAAAAGATAAAATAAGAAGCTTATTATAAAGGATAACTACTTGCATGTTTTTAAAAGAAAACTTAAATGGAAAGTTTGGATGCGGAGGAGTTTGGTGGATATAATGCGGATTTTTTATATGAACTTTCAGATGAACATGAATGTCCTGTGTGTAAAATGGCTCTTCGTGAACCTATTTTAACACTGTGTGGTCATCGGCTTTGTTTGTCATGCTCAGAAGAAATGAGAAAAAGGTATAATCTTGTTGTGTTAAAAACGAAATAATGTAGCATGCATTATAAAATACATTTAGTCGAGTGCATGCATGCATGCATACATACATACATATATACATACGTACATACATACATACATACATACATACATACATACATACATACATACATACATACATACATACATACATACATACATACATACATACATACATACATACATACATACATACATACATACATACATACATACATACATACATACATACATACATACATACATACATACATACATACATACATACATACATACATACATACATTCATACATAAAACATACACAAATCCATACATGTATATTCATCATGGTATATACTGAAAAAGACTGTTTTTTAAAAAAGGTGCTAGAAAAACTGAAAAATGTATGCTTTGAACATTATTAAACCAATGAAGCTACAAAAATACAATTTCCAGTTTTTTCAGCATGCTTTTTAAAAGCAACTCTTTCCAGTTTTTCCAGCAGAGTTGACAGAAACTTTAGGCAATTGTTCCTGTAATGTATACTACAAAGAATAATCAATTTCAAAAATATGATACAGTTTGTTGAAAACATAATTGTGCAAAAGTTTATAAAAAGCACTATAAACCGTATCTATAAAATTATACGTATTATATTTACATATTTTCTGAATATAATTTTCTACGAATTATAACTAGAAAATAATGATTTAATGATAAAAAATTAATTAAAAGCAAATTTCTTTAAGTGAATAAATCACCAATTAACGCACTACTTAAGAGATTTAATGACCCTTAGACTTTGAAAACATGCATCGTTCAAGTAGATCAAAGATTACCACTGAACAGAATTTTGTTAAGACAATCAAAACGAGATCCTTGCAAAAAAGCTTTCAAATTCAAAAGCATTATGAGCAACAATTATGTTGTTAAGCGCAACGTATATACTACAAAACATCAACGTAGATACTACAAAATCTTCGTCATCAAACTATTGATATTATTAAAGAATCTTTTTGTCTATATGAAAAAAATTTCAAAAAAATAGTCAAAGTCTTATTCGGTGACAAAGTACTTGGTATTATCACAGTACATAAGACGTCGAAAATGTAAAAAATTTGCTCCTAAGTATCAAATGTCAGCAGTTTAACATGATTGCTTTGGAGAAAGCATGTTTTCAATCGTGATTTTATTGGTTACGGATTCAAGGATTTATTTTTAAGACTAATAAAATTTGATGTTGTTAAAAATAACACAAAAAAATTCAATTGCAATCAAACATTTTCTTAATTTAAAAGATCATTCAAGACACTAATTATAGAAAATGATTTTGGGGATATGGACCCTGCAACTTTACTTTACGAAGCGAATCTGGACGTCCAATGTTTGGACACTTTTTTGAGTATAGCTTGACGTAAGTCACAAAAACATAAGCAATGCCGGCCTCTCAGGCATCAGTTGTTGCTAGTTTGTCAGCCTTAACCAGTAACTTTACCAAGTCTTACAAGAAGTAATCGTCATATAAAAGTGTCATTTTGCAAAAACTAGAGGCCAATTGAAAGGTTTATTTTTTGAAATCAACTTATCGCCAAATTTTGATTAAATAAGTTGATGGTTGATATTGTCGTATCGGATGTTGCGCTATCCTGTTAAAACCAAATTTGTTCCGGAGCAATGTCATCCATATTTTCAAACAAAAATTATTGATCATGGTTTGGTAATGATCTCCGTTGACACTATTACAAGCTTTGGTCTTATTTTTTAAAGAAATAAGGTCTGATGATGCAGCCAGCGTGTAAAAGGCGCAAAACAAAAACCCGTAAAACCAGAAAGCCACAATGCTGAATGTCGCCCTTCGGCAAAAAACGATGCATGTTAATGGTTTCATAGCTTAATTCCTGCACCAGCAGAATCTTATACGTGTGTAGACCAAGATCTTTGCGCAAACCTGTGACTAACAACAAATCAATAAATTTAGAACTCTTTCGTACTTTAGCTTACAGCAACAATATTCTTTCAGCACGCATATTCTTTTTATGTGTTTATATAGTTCAACCCTCTAGAGTGTATGTTGTTTGAAAGCTATCCTTTGAAAGATGGAGCTCAGATGGACGATTATGTGCGCCATAAAATCTAAATCTAAAAATTAAGTTGCACTAATCGAAGACTGATTTTCAAATTAAATTTAAATAGTTTCGTTGAGTTGTTCAATCGTTTGTCTACTCATGAGGATTTGCCAGAGTTTTCTTAAAAAAAAAATCATCTAATTTAACTTTTTCTGTTAATTGTTATAATTTCTAGTTCCATGGGGCTTATAAAAATAACCCTATGTATAAAAATGTTTAAACAAAGTAAACAATTGTGTCTAAGATTGTAGGTACTACAATGTTGATGATTTAAATGCCTTAGATCTTAATCTAAACCAATTAAATTTCTTACACTTAAATATTTCCTCACTTTCTCTTCATGATGATGAGTTAAAATCTTTAATTAATTCCTTAAAATTTCCTCCGTGTGTTATGACAGTGTTTGAGACAAGATTGAAGCAACATGTATCACCCATAAGTGAAATTAAAAACTATGTGATAGAAAATACACCAACTGAGCCCTGCGGTGCCCTACTTTACATTAATTCTACTTTTATATGTAAAAAGAAGATGACCTTTTATTGTACAAAGCACATGAACTTAAATCAGTTTTTATAGAAATAATAGCTCTTAAAGGAAAAATTACAATTGTTGGTTGTATCTACCGTGACTCTTGCATGTCAATGTCATGATTTTAATCAAAATTTTCTTATTAATTAATTGGAAAAACTTATAAAAATGTTATAATTATGAGTGACTTAAAGATTATCTTCTTAATTATGAAAACTCGTCAGGGTTTTCATAATTAAGAAGAAACCCTAACCCATTAAAACCTTTTACATATATATAAAACATATTTTTTTCGAAAATTTTAAATAAGATTCAACTTTATCAATAGTGTTTAAATATTCAGAGGGTTTGTGAACTTTACGTTTGGTTACTGCTTATAAACTTGAAAAGATATTTTTTGGAAATTTGATTCTGTCGATAAATTTCAATCTTATTTTAATTTTTCAATAAAATTGTATTTTATTGAAAAATTTAATAGAAATACTCTAAAGGTGAGTTACAGTTGTATGTCAAACATCAAATCAATAGTTAACTCTCATAACCATAATATAATGAAAAACAATACCTCAGATTCCAATAAACATTGCAATTATATTATTACGGAAATACTAATGGGGAAATTTCGCTACCTATTTATATTAAACAGAAATACGGTTTGATTGGATAATTAATATTATTTCCCATCCTCTTGTTTTGGTAATTAATTTCTCAGGTCATGTTGGTCTTGTAATCAATTCAAATTAGTTAAATCAATCAGCAACAATGCCGCGAAACTACAAGAGAAAATCCGTCACCAAATATAGCGAAGAGCTAAGGAAAAAGCCATTGCAAAATTTAAAGCTGGCGAGTTGCAAGCGAGCTGCCGAATTATACTGTATACCTTGAAGGACAATAGGAGGAAGAATTTAATATCCAGAAAGGATAGCTGGATCTGGTACATTAAAAAATCTCCTAAAATATCCTACAATCTTAAAAACACATTTAACTGATTGTAAATGTGTTTTTTAGATTTATAATTTAAAATAAAAAATTTATGTTGTAAATAACATAGGTGGCGAAATTTTCCCAAATTAGATTTTATTAGGGTAATTTCGCCACCCCATTTTTCTGTTCTATTTATTTAAAAGAAAATAAAAATAGATAAAGTTGTAAAGTTATTAAAAATATTATTAACAATAAAAATTGATTTTCATTTTTAATTCTCAAGTTATTTAAATTCAAAGAATTAGTGGCAAAATTACCCCATCTCTCTCTCTCTCTCTCTCTCTTTATATATATATATATATATATATATATATATATATATATATATATATATATATATATATATATATATATATATATATATATATATATATATATATATATATATATATATATATATATATATATATATATATATATATATTTGAAAGATGACATCTTGTATGAGAGTATATTATATATTATTTTAAAACATCAAGAAATAAAGTTTCTCGCAATACTAATAATTTTATTTTGTAAGAAATTTTCGCTGGGTTATGGATACCAGCATCATCAGCTTGTAAAATGTTACAATAATTTTTTAATCGTTATAGTTTACATAAAATTGTTACTATTGACGTCAGCGGTTGCATGGCTTCTTTTGATTTTTAAATTTTAAAAATGGCGTCCAAAACATAGTTTTTACATATTGGCCTTCATCAAGATTAATTCCGCCGTTTCGTGCAGAGCACATGTTGTTTTGTATTTCTAGTGCCTCTTTAATTTTTCTTTCAAACTTTTTATTTTCTACTTTTAATGTTCTTGTTTTTTCCCAAATAATATTTTTTTTTGCAAAAGGTTTTATGATATGCTAATGCAGATTGATTAGGTTTGTTTTCATTAATGCTCTTCTGATGTTGATGCATTCGCGTATTTACCTGCATTTTTGTTTCACCTATGTAGACCTTGGAGCAGTTGCATTTTATTATATAGGTTCCAGGGTGGCTGCTACTTGGTAGTTTTGATTTGTTTTTTGATGTTAATAAAGATCTTAAATTTGGGTTTGATTTAAATACTGCTCTGTACCCTGCTTTGCGGAATATTTTTCAAAGTTTTGGTGAAAGGCCTGGTACCCATGGTAAAGACACTACAGGAAGATTATTGTATTCTGATGGAACTGTGTTTTTATTTTGTCTTTTTTGATGAAATTGGTGTGTAATATTCCTCAATAGCTTTTCATCGTACCCATTTTCAACAAACATGTCACTTAAAAAATTTATTTCAATTTGCAAATGATGCTTACTACAGGTGGAGTAAGCTCTGTGGAGAAAACCTTTAAATAAAGCTGTTAAAATATTTGGATCGTGCTTTGAATGTGGTTTAATTTGAATGTTTGTGATTGCCTCTTTTCGATATACTTTGTACTCATATTTTCCTAGTGTGTTATTTGTTATGGTTATATCAAGAAAGTATTTTTGTCTCGTTTTCAACTTCAATTGTGTATTGTATTGCAGGATGTAGTTGATTTAAAATATCTTGGAACTGTTTTGCTTGATCGATGTTAGGAAATCTTGCATGAATGTCGTCAACGTATCTTAAAAATGGTTTTAGATTAAGTGCAGGATTTCCTTCATATATATATATATATATATATATATATATATATATATATATATATATATATATATATATATATATATATATAAAGGAAAAAGAAGCCAAGCAAAACAACAATACTCAAAAAATGAATCCATTTTTTATATTAAATTACTACTAAGAAAATATTAAATAGTACTAGAGGCCTTTCAGTATTGATCATCAGTAGTACTATTGCCAATATATATATATATATATATATATATATATATATATATATATATATATATATATATATATATATATATATATATATATATATATATATATATATATATATATATATATATTGGCAATGTATATATATATATATATATATATATATATATATATATATATATATATATATATATATATAATATTGGTATGTGTATATATATATATATATATATATATGTGTGTGTATATATATATATATATATATATATATATATATATATATATATATATATATATATATGTGAATATATATATATATATATATATATATATACATATATATACATATATATATATATATATATATATATATATATATATATATATATATATATATATATATATATATATATATATATATATATATATATATATGTATATACACACACACATATATATAATATATATATATATATATATATATATATATATATATATATATATATATATATATATATATATATATATATATATATATATATATATATATATATATATATATATATATAAACACATATATACATATATTTTAATATTTAAAAATATATCAATAAGAAAAATTAAATGCAAAGAAACCGTTTAAAATAAAGAATAAAGATAAAGAACGCGGAAACTCAAAGAAAACCATATAGGTCTTGTCACCAAGAAACGCTGTTGAAGAACTTTGAACTTAATTTAGATTTTAAATAAATAAATAAATACAAATTTTAAACTTTTCTTTAGTTATGGTCTTTATGGCTTGAATTAAAATACTAATTCTACTGAATCGCATGACTCAAGCGAAAACAATAATATCATCATATTCTTGATAAACGAATACGTCTCGCATCTTACTCGCATATATACGATCACTGAATCTTGTTACTCAAATCTATCTTACAATTACACTAATCTTAATTGTTAATTAATTAGTAAATAAGCAAAAATGATAAGAATATGACTGCACTAGGTACATCCAAATGCACTTAAAGGTTATCGAAAAGGTTGTGTATAAGAATTTAGAAAGCCAAATGATGGTGTCTCTGTATGTGAAGCCAAAATTATTAAATGTTGGTGCGTTTACGTTTACGCTTCCACCGAAAAAAGTGCTAAACCACTGTCAAAGCATGGTTAACTTCCAGAAATATCATACATGCAATATTTGCAGATACATCCATTCAAATACATCAGTTTTATTTTTATTTATTTTTTATAATAATATATTTATATATTTTTTAATTTTTTTTTTATTACAAAATTAAATTCAGTATTAAAAGTATATACCGTTCGTAAGACAAATTATTTACAAATATTACGAATTAAAATAAAAATTAAAGTAAACATGTACATAATATTAGATTAGTGTACAAAAAATGTCAGTGCAACTTTTAACAAAATTCAAATATTGGTGTTTAAATATAGTTTCTCGCATAAACGTTAAATCGATATTGGATAAAAGTATAATAAAAATGAGTGATGGCAAAACGTGGTATAATTAAAAGTATATAAATATATTTTCAATTGAGAAAGTTACTTTTTTTAATTTTCTTTTGAACATATAATAATTTCATTCATGAGAAAAATCAAAATTTTTAAAAATTATTTGATTCCTTAAAAAAGCTCCACAAAAAAAAAAGGAAAATTTACCAAAGTTCTTTTGAAATTTTGGTTGAATAAAATTATCATTTCTTAAAGAGTATTTATTTTTTTCTTTTAAAGAATATAAATCAAAAAAGGAAGCTGGAGATGAGTTGGTTTTACATTTAAACATAAAACAAAGAACATTATAAACATTTACTTGATATATATTAAAAACACTCATGTTAAATAAGAGTGGCCTTAAGTGAGTAAAACGATTTTTGAAATTTATTAGACGAGAAATATGCTTCTTCTGACAATAAATTGGCTTTAATTTACTTTTATGGATACTACCCCATAAAATATTAGCATAATTAATGTGACAGTGTATAAAAGAGTAATATAGTTGTGTTAAATAATGTTTGTTTAAAACGCATCTTGCTTTATATAAAACTCCAATACTTTTTGCAACTTTGTTGCATAACTGTCCGATGTGATTCTTCCATGATAAATTTTCATCTATAATGATACCTAGAAAATTTGTGAAAATTACTCTTTTTATTTGAATAGTATCAATATGAAAAAGAGGCATATTATTTGGAAGTAAATGTTTTTTAAATCGTGGATAAAAGAAAATCCATTTAGTTTTATCAATGTTGAGTGAAAGTTTATTTGACTTAAACCAGTCAGATATTTTTGTTAGTTCAATGCTCATCTCATAAAAAATTTTATTGATGTTATTATTAGATAGGAATAGGTTTGTATCATCAGCAAACATTATAGTTGTTAATTTTGAGACTTCATGGAGATCTTTAACATAAATTAGAAATTATAAAGGCCCTAGTACAGATCCCTGTGGAATTCCACAAGTTATATTTAGATAATCTTATGAAGAAGATCCGCCGACATAGACAAATTGTTTGCGATGTTATAAATAGCTTTTTAGTAGTTTTAAAACATTACTAGTGATACCATAATGTTCAAGTTTTTTAATCAGTATTTCATGGTCAATTGTGTCAAAAGCCTTAGATAAGTCTATATAAGACGCCTAAAGTAAACTCTGTAAACTAAAGTAAAAGCCTTAGATAAGTCTATATAAGACGCCTAAAGTAAACTCTGAATTTTCGAATGAATCAGTTATACTACGAGTAAGATGAGTTGTTGCATGTTCAGTTGAGTTATTTCTTTTTAAACCGTATTGATTTATATAAAGTATACTATTAACAGCAAGATGATTAGATATTTGGTTGAACATAATTATTTCTAAAATTTTTGAAAAAACAGAGAGAATAGATATTGGTCGATAATTACTGACATTTGATGGTTCGCCTTCTTTAAATATAGGTGTTATTTTGGCTGTTTTCAATTGATCGGGGAAAATTCCTGGATTTATAAAACATTTAAAAACTTTAAAAACAGTATGTTTTATGGTACCGTATAAATCTATGACTATATTACAATTTATATCATCAGGACCTACTGCTTTATTAGTTTTAAGCATTTTAAAAGCACTTTCAAATTCTGAAGAAGATACTTCAAATTTATTTAAACTAGAGATTAATGGAAACACGTAATCATTTATTGGATTAATCATATTTGGAATATTTTTAGCTGAATTTTGGCCAACAGACACGAAATATTTATTTTATTCTCGTGCTATTTGTTTGGGTTCATATAAAAATACGCCTTCAACTTTTATAGTGTTAGACACAGAGCATAATTTTAATTTACTATTTCCAGTAATTTGACTTATAATTTGCCATGTGCGTTTTGAATTATGTTTATATTTTTCTAGTATATCATAGTAATATCGTTTTTTAAATTTTTTTCTTTGACTTTCAAACATTTTAGCATAATTTTTATAAATAATTTTATTTTCTGGTGTTGGTTTTTTTAAGCACTTTATATGCAGTTTTTTCTTTAATTTGAGGGTTTCCTAAGATCTTTATTGACCCATGGTGACTTTATACTTTTATTGGTTAAAATAAATTCACGTTTTGGAAAATTTACATCATATATTTCATAGAAAGTTTGAAAGAACGTATCGTATACTTCATTAGCTTTAAATGAACTTTTTATATGATTCCAATTTATTAAAAATAATTGATCCTTAAACGATGCTAGATTTGCATCGGTGAAAAAGCGTTTGATAATGACTTTTATATATATATATATATATAAATAAATTTATATATAAATATATATAAATATATATATATATATATATATATATATATATATATATATATATATATATATATATATATATATATATATATATATGTATATATATATATTATATATATATATATATATATATATATATATATATATATATATATATATATATATATATATATATATATATATATATATATATATATATATATATATATATATATATATATATATATATATATATATATATATATATATATATATATATATATAGTTTCTAGAAAGCCTCCATTTGGGAACGCGAATATTTTTTTTTCTCTTAGTCAACTTTAAACGAGTATTATTTGAAAACAATAAAATACTTTCTTTAATCTAATGATAAAAGAAAACATAATTTCAAAATATCAACTATTATACCTAATAAAATATCTTATATTTTATTAGGTATAAAAAATATGTTAAATTTTAATATGTATAAAATAGCTAACTTTTTTTTTTCAAGAAATAAAGGAGTTTTACTTTGCCCATTAGACAACACTAATTTGAATTCTGAGAAGGTAACTTCATTCACTTAACTTATATAATTTAGTCTTATTAAATTATTTGTTGTTTTAAATCTTGTTATTTTTTATCTTTTATCAACTTATTTTATTGTTATTCAATTGTTTATTTATTTTTAATTTTTCTAAATGAAAGAACTTAATATCATCGCCATCAATTTGTAAAAATATTGTTTGTTACAAAATCTTGGGGTTGGCAATAAGGCTTATTGTGACTACTTCTTACCCCGACCATCTGTATTTGTTATATAATATCTATAGTATTTATATATAAAAACAATTAAAAAAATAAATAATTCATTCGTATGAACTTATTTATATATTTCAAAAGTATATTTAAAAAGATAAATAAATTCATTGTATGAATTTATTTAAATATTTCAAAATGTTTTTAATTAAAAATTGATAAAACACTTTTTCTTATAGACTTTTCCCGACAGAGCTATTGAAAGAGCTATTCTGCAACTAAAAGTTAGATGTAATAACTTCTCAAAAAACTGTCAATGGACCGGAGAACTAAAAGCAATTAATGTACGTAATATATTTAATGCAGCAAATTAACTCTAGGTTTTCTAAAGAATATAAACATTTTAGCAAAAACTTATTAGTATTTTTAATATATTTAATTAGATGTTATTTCTCATTAAAATGTGTTTTATTCCAAAGTTTTACAATGGTAGTTTTTTTAGAAACTTCTAAAGAAATGCAAAAAAAAGCGGTTCAAGATTACTACATCTGGCCAACAACATCTTTGGAGTTGTCCAAGATCATCTCTACACTTTTATCCAAGATCATCTGTAGTTTTTTTTATTTACTCCAACAAAATCTGTCAAACATCATCTTGAAGTTCAGTAATCTCTAACAACTTCTTTAGGAAGATGTAACTACATCTAGTTAAAATAATTGACTATTAAATAATATTTTTTTCCAGATGTAGTTACATTTGAAAAAAAATCCATATAAGTTGGTACATCTAGTTAAAATAATGCACTATTAAATAGTTTTTTTTCCAGATGTAATTACATCTGAAAAAAATTATATATGTAACTTCTTCTGGTTATTATAATGCTTTATTATTTAATAATTTTTTCCTGATTTTTTCCTGGTAGTTATTCTAAATATAATTGATGATGAAACTACATCTGTAAAATCTATAGATGACGTTGTTTTACTTTGATAATTAAAAAGATGTAACTGCCTCTGTAATAATCATATATTTTTTGCACAGATGTTTATAGATTCCAATGAAATTTCAGATGATGTCAAACAGATGTTACTATATCTCATTTTATTTATAGATGTTGTTGGACAGATGTTAGATTTAGCAAAAACCGATGTTGTTACCCTGACCCAAAAAATCTACTAAATTTGGAGCAAATTATTTTTAGTAGCATTTAAAAAACAAAGAAGTTTTAAAAGTTAACGTTGTCCTAAAATAATTTAGAACAAATTAAATATGTTTTTCTATTTAAGAACCATTTAACATCATGTCAATATCAAGAAGTTAAATGCTCTTATACACAATGTTCTACTTCACTTCTGCGTAAAGAACTAAGTGATCACATGGAAACGCAATGCATTTATCGCTTGGTTATCTGTCAACATTGCAATAAAAAGATTCAACTTTGTGAGAAGCAAGTAAAAGCATTTTTTAGCTTTTTTTTTAATCTGCTAAAATTTAATTTTTATTTAAAAAAAAAAGTTTGAAATTAATTTTTTTTAAAATCTATTTAAAGTATAAAGTTTAAAAAAAAGAGAGAGAGAGAGAGAAAAACAAAACAAAAATTCTAATAAATCCTTATTAGAATTTTATATATATATATATATATATATATATATATATATATATATATATATATATATATATATATATATATATATTAGGGTGTCCCGAAAAAAAAAAAAAAAAAAGCTCTCTACTGAGACCTAAATAAGTACTAAAAAAAATTTGACGGTTTTATTTAGGCAGGAAGTGCTAGATGTAAAATCTGAGTTTTACTGTTTTAATGTTAAGCTGGGTTAACATTAATAGAAAACACAATTTTTTTACATTTTGGAAAAACAATTAAATGCGTTTAAATCATTTCCAATTGTTTTCTACTATTTAACTTTTTGAACAGTTTCTAAGCTCCTTTTTAGTCATACTCTTAGTCAAGTTTTTTCTAGACTTTTTAACAACAAAAGGTACATTTTGAAGGTGATCTTCATCTCTAGTAACTGAAATAAAATCTTTAATGGGCTTAATGTTTCTTTCTGCACCATCATTCACAACAGACATGTTTTTGATCCATGCAATAAAATCTAGCAACTGAGGATGATTAAATACATCTACAGTATATATACAGTATATATATAGTATATATACAGACTATTATTGAGCCATTCTTTTATACTTGCTCTTGATATTTTAAAATGTTTGAAGAGAAGGTAGTTTTGCTCGGAAATCAAATCAGGTAGCTCTGTCGTTTCTCCAGTTTGCACATTTGATGGTTTACAACGCTAAAATTCATTTGGCTTTTCAAACTCAACCAGAGCTAACAGCATTCTTAGCTTTGTTTCAGAAGAAACTTCTTTTTCCCTAAAGGACAGAACACAGAGTTGCGGAGATAAGTAATACGTATGGCTTCCCATGCTGAGAAGCAAAGCATTTTCAATATTATCATTGACTTTTCTCAATGCATTGGCTGTCTGGATAGCTTTCAAATCATTGGAGGGAGCTAGAAATCCTAAAAAATTTTTCAAAAACCATAAAACTTAGCAAATTGCAATAAACAAACTTGTATCCTTCAACTGCAGCACTTCTTTTTCCGTCAAGATATTACTGATATCTTTGCTCATATAAAGAATCAGGATGTACACCGCATCTGCTGAAAACCATGCCTCATGGCAGGCGCCAGGTTGATGGAACTTAAAATCTTGTATTTCCGCTCCAAGGAAGAAGGAGGCAAGCTTACAATATATACCATAATCATTAATTGAAAACACCATATCAGTAGTTGCATTAGTCAAAAATTTCTTAGCTTCCTCTGCAACAGTGCGAAGAACAGAGCCAATCTTCAGATCATCTCTTTGTCTAATTTACATAAATTTTTCATTTCATTAACTTTCTCACAGATTTCAGGCCACTTGTTCTTGAGCTTGACATAAAGAACTCTTCTTGGACCTTAAGTTTTCTCACCAGTAAGAGCAACCATATAGTGAGATACATGTACTTCATATGTGTGTCTCCTACACATTATCCACAAAATTGTTATTTTCAAAATATCTATAAGAATTTGGTCTTTCATGGTATCGTCATCCGGGGAACTCACTGAGATAGCAAGTTGCTCAATTTTTTGAATAATGTTAAGCCCAGTGGAAATTTGTTGCAACAGTTTGGTATCAAAATGAAGAATAAGCCGTCGGCCTTTAGGATGATTAGTTATTAAAATCCACTCTAAGTCTCCTTCAAGTTCTACATATTTGAACTTTTGTCTATGAAGTGTGCTTTGTGAAAGCGGTATATCATTAATTTCTATACCTCCAGCTTTAAATATTTTACTTAAAATTGCCAGATAAGGTCGTACACCAACACTGCTGGAATAGCAGTACATTCAATGAGCTTTTCAACACTGCTAGATTTATCTTCTCTCCAGAATTGTACCTAGATATCATTTTATAATACTTTTCTATTTATAGTTATATACTTTTCAATAAAACAGTTTTAGCTTGTGAAAATTACAACTATGTTATTAAAATAATACTATACCTGCGTTTCCGACCGTTACCCAGGAAATCTTCTTCCTCGCTGATTTTTGCATCCAGTACTCTTCTACTGTAGTCTTCTTCAACGTTTGTTCCCATATATTCTTTCCTATCCAATTTTTGGTCTTCATAAAAGCTAAGAAATAGTTAATTTTATTAAGACATTTATAAATAAATTTATAATTGTTCTAGTTTTTCCTGGAAGATGGCCAAACCATGGAAGGAGTTAAACGTAAATATTTTAAATAATATGCTTTTACTTAAGTTACTATAAATCGGAAAAAAAATCTCACTACTAAAAAAGTGTTATTGAATGAACTTACTTTACATCTTCCAGCTTGGCATTATTTGTTCTCAATCAATCAGCAAGAATATCTTTTTTAAAATTCTTAGTTGATATGTCGAAAAAATTATAGGATTCTGTGAGAAAATCTTTCTCTAACTTTTATTGCTTATCAAGGCTGCTGTTCCAGTTTAGTAAAGGCAATTTAATCAATTACTTGTATTTTAGATTAAGTTTAATTTTTTGGTCTTTATATTGTACCCAGAAATCACAAATTTCTTGCCAAACCCAGCATTATCCCCAATTTTTTTAATCCTAGTTACCAAGCAAGAGTTATCAGGATCTGTACAAACACTATTTTCACAAACAAGATCCTTGGATTTCGATTTCAATTTGCAACCAACATTAGTAGAAGTGGGTTTGTATTTTACTTGTGACTCGCGAAGGATAAATTGATAGTATCTAAGAATATCACCATTAGATGGAAGCTGTCTCTGAGGTAAATCTCTTAGTGGGTACTTCAATAGGTAAATATACCTCAACCTTTCTGTATTTTTCCGTTTTTTCTGATTCTGTCTTATCATCTTCTTTTTTTTAGCTGTTCTACCCATTTTATATGAATTTCAAAATAATCAGTTTTTTAACTAAGTTTATACTAAATTTTACACTTGCATTAAAAATCTATGAATTCGTTATTCCCTCTCGTATCATATTTTATCTAAGTTTACCTTTATAGCTTTTATAACCGTTTACACAAGAATTTCTTCGTGCACTAATTAGAATTCGTTCGTGCACAAATAATTCCATTTAGGATTTTTTTCCTTTAAAAAAAGTTTCTAAATGGAGTTATTTGTGAATCAATCCATGAAGAATTATACCAACTAATAAAATTGTCCAGTGGGAATTATATCAATCGCTAACAATGTTCATAGGGAATGATCCTATTCTTTAATAATATCCTATGGGAATTATTTGTGTACCAATTATTATATCATATTAAAACCTATTAAAATACTAGATAACGCTGTGTATGGGTATGGATGTATGCGTGTTTATGTGTATATATATGCATGTATATGGATGTATGTGTGTTTATGTTTATATATACAACCACATGTGTGACATATATGTATGTATGTATGTATGTATGTATGTATGTATGTATGTATGTATGTATGTATGTATGTATGTATGTATGTATGTATGTATGTATGTATGTATGTATGTATGTATGTATGTATGTATGTATGTATGTATGTATGTATGTATGTATGTATGTATGTATGTATGTATGTATGTATGTATATTGAAGAATATATTGATTGGTGATACTTTTATAAAATTTTACACACTCCATAAGGAGGTCTAGTACAATATTTTTATTACAAAAAAAAAAAAAAATTAAAGACATTCCATGTGCCCGTGTACGAAGGGCATAATTTCATGGCGTAATTTTGATACCAGCTCATTTCTTTTGTTTAATAATTTCATTTTTGATTTTATTATGAGATATTATTTTTGAAGGCATATTCCTTTCAAAGGGCATTGCGAAGTTTGTTGGCGGTTGCATTGTTGGTTGGTTGAGGTATTAGTACGAGACAAATTTTTTTTATTGTGAGCAGTAATAATACTTTTGATGTTAGGAAATCAGCTGTAGATTACTTTTAAGTTGTTTTTGTTGAAGAGTTTATAAATTTTATGAGATTTCGGAAAGTGTTTTTTTAACTAAATTTAAAAAAATTCTTGCAACATTTGTTCTTACATTAAGCGTAGAAAGAGAGTTAAACCATAAAATGTTACGTGATCTTGATTTTGATTTTGATGTGATATGGTTTGGTTTATAACAGATTATTTCTTCGTCGTTATCATAAAAAGGTGCAGCTTTGTCAAAAACGTCTTTGTTGGGTGAAATATTGCTTATTATTTAGGTGTGCAATATTTCATCCAACAAATATTGTTGGATGAAGTATTGCACACCTGTTTCAAAATATTTACAAACGGATGCCTTGAGTCTTCTAGTTGCCATAAAGATGGTAGAAACCACTTTAAACTGCCTCATTGCAGTCCGTGAACAAGTTCCTGATATCCTCATGAAAGCTGAATTATTTGCAGGATAGGCTAATAATATGATATCTGAAGCTAACAAGGATATCAAAGAAACATTTGAAATTGAGCTCCAACAAAAAATAACTCGACAAAAAAAGTAGATTCCTGGTAAAAATACAAATGATGAAAGCAGGCAAGAATTTCAGAACCTAGTATTGCGGTTTAAGATTTAATGTATTCTTTGTTATTATGGATACTACCACTACAGCAATCAAACACCGTTTTAAAGGAAATGATGTTGGTATCTTAAGGAATATTCCTTGTATGGATCCTAAAAACTTTCCATCTTTGCATGACCAAATGGTATACAGAGGGAAAAACTGTGCAAAAAAATCACATCATTTGCAACTAATTTACCATTAGTAAGGCTGATGAAACTGAATCAGAGAAAAGCTTCTCTGAAATAGGCTGCAATTGGTGTTTGAGTTGCTTTCTTTTTCTTCTGCGTCGCTGGCAATAATGTGCAGAAAATATAGTGGTGCAGCGCTACAATTTATAAATACGGTATTTTTAAAACCTTGCATATGGAATTAATTTTTTAAGCTTCGCAAATAAATTGATAGGTGGAGTCCATGGTCAAAGATATTGAAATTTGCATTCACATTATTGGAAATGTCCTATACCCTTATAACGAAAAAACTATGTGATTAAGAGTTAAATTTATTTTTGCTAAATATTTTGCTACCATAAGGACCCCATCTAATGTAATTAATAACCGACATTTATTGTCTGTAATTTATTCTTAACTCAGACGTTTTTTTAAATAAGTAAATATAGCAAACAAATTTTTTATTCAAATATAATATTTTCATATTACATATAAAAAATTATAAATTTTGTAAGCAAACCATAACGTATAATGTTAAGTAAAATAATCAATAAATAATGAATGTAAATAATGAATGCGTAGCATTGTTATAGGCACCTTATTATTTAGCTTCCTTCTTTTTTTTTTTTTAAAAGCTCAACTTAATTAATACTTCCCAGTGAAAGGTGCGGTTTTTAAACGTTTAAAAACGGTTTAAAAAACGCACTGTGCCTACTGGATTTACTGCAGCCTTGATGCAAGTGGATTCGTTTTTAAATGTTTTGAATTTTTGCTAAATTGAGTTTTTAATTTAAAAAGATAATAAAAGCAACACAGTACTGTCTAATATACATTATTTATTCGTATTTTTTATATAATATAGTTTTACAGGTAGATTAAGGCTTTGATGTGATTGACCAAAAGAGTAATTTTATATATTAGGCTGAGTTTTATAAAAGTGTAAAAATTAAACGAAATCACTGAAAATCTAAAACATTAATTTAAAGGTGAGTTTCCACTCATCCGTTTTTCTACGGGAAAGGGAAAGGGAACGGAAAAATTATCACGTGAGCATGCGCAGTTTACTTTCGGACAAATAAAAACTTTTGTTACGCATGCTCACGTGATTATTTTTTCCTCTCCTATCCCGTTCCCGTTGAAAAACGGATGAGTGGAAACTCGCCTTAAATATTAAAACAGATTATTTTGTACGAAAAATAAAAAAATATATTTTAAGTATTTTTAATATGGTAGACGACGTTTAAAATATTTATATCACAACAAAATATCAAAATATTGTTTTTAAACATATCTTATTCAAAATATTTTCATCTTCTTTTTAGTGTATATAAAAAGTAGAGTTTAAAATTGGAAATGTTTTAAAAATCTAAATTAACAACACTTTTTATCTTATTATTTATTTATTTTTATTTATTTGAGTTTTCATGCTATATTTTTCTATACAATGTTTATATATCCGAAGATATTGTTGGCTAAGCATAGGAACAGCCACAAGTAGTCATTAAGACTAATCCAAAGTAGCGACCAACAATTTTGCGTACCGAAGTACTACTCAAGCGCTGAGTTGGCGGTGGCGGGATTTGAACTCGTATCGTTCAACAGTCCGGGTTTTAACTTTTCCTTTAACGCTCTAACCATCTGAGCTATCCCGCCACAAATTATTAACGCCATAGCAACCACAAAAGCATCTATAGTTGGTTATATAAAAACTTAAACTAAAACTTTTAAAGAAATTAAAGAAATGAAAAATTTTTCATATCTTTTTTACTTTTTTACTTTTATTTACTTTTGTATTTTCAGCAAGTTGGTTATTTTTATATTTTTGCAAAATTTTAAAACATGATTTCTTCTGACCAAATAAAGCATATGATTCAAATATTTTAAAACACATTTTTTTTAGTTAAAACTTCTTTAAAATTTAAAATTTGATAAGTTAACACTGGATACAGAAAAAACAAAATAAATACTGTTTCATTCCAAAAAACTAAAAGATGATATACCATTTATACTTTCCTCGCTAAAAATAGAAGTAAACATTGAAGGAACAGAAAAAACTAAACTTCTTGGGATTGAAAAAAATATGTCCTGGAAACTCCATATTTGTAAAATAAACATCAAAATTAAAAAAAATATTCTCTACAGTAAGTTAAACCTATGTTGTGACAAGTTAATAATAAATCTCTTAATTTCTCTTACATACAAAGTTATCTTACGTACGCTAATATTTCATAAACAAAGTACACACGAATCCAAATTGAATGCTCTTTATATAAATCAAAAACATGCATCAAGATTAGCTTATAATAACGATAAACTCACCCATGCTGAACCCTTACTAAAAATCTTTATTGCACTAAATGTTTATCAAATCAACATCTATCAAAATATTCTACGAATAACTTATTTATGTCTATCTGACTGTATATTGTTTAACCACTTTTGACTAAAATTAATTAGATTTTATTTAACCATTTAAAGTGGTACTCGATGATGAGAAGACTTCATAGTCTTCCACGAGTTTCCTTAACAACAAAATAATAATATTTAAAGAAACAATAGTTTTTTATTTTTTATTTAAAAAAAAAACACTATGTTAAGAAACATTATTTATTAATTTAATGTAAAACTTGTTAAATTACGTGTTCTTATGTTATGTTATGTATTTTGAACATTTCATTATATTATGTCATAGATTTAAAACTTTATAAAGTGTAAATATATTAAAGTTTAAAAAAAAAAGAAAAAAAAAAAAAGGAGTAGTATGATGTCATCAACAAATATGCAAAATTTGATTTATGATTTTAAATTCTGAATTTAGATAACATGTTTTGAAAAAAACTAAATGCCTTTTTATACTGTTGTTCCACCATTTATGGTAAAATTTTTGATAATTATATTCTTGTAGTATGACGTTGCTGCATAATTTTAAAAGTTTTTTTTAATATTTCATAAAAACTGTCTACTGTATATTTTGTGGTCTACCATCTTAAAAGGTCCTATTTTTCCAAACATGTGCATTAAGAACGAGGCAAAAATCATTTGGCGCAAAGCTTTTGTTATTAACAGTCAACGTATTTGCTTTAAATCAAAATTTAAAAAAGGATTTAGTTTTTTTGATTTTAAAATATTTTATTTCTAAAAAACCGTAGTAAGGAAATATATCGTCGCCTCAGAGCAAAAATATTCTATCTACAAGTTTTGAAAAATTGAGATGAACGTGTAGATAAAATACAATCCGTATTAATTTAAAGAAAATATTTTGAAATAAATATAAAGTATTGAATTATTATTAATTTCTGAGAAAATCATTTTATTATAAGTAGCAAAATTTTGATTTGTGATATCTAAACTAAGTTTGTTTTCATTGCCCTGAAAAATGCAAATTTTGTAGATAGAATTTTTACTCTGAGGTGACGATATGCTCTTAATGATGATCATTATTATCTATGATGTGGTGATGATGATGATAATAAAGATTATGGTGATGATAATGTTTTTTGATGTGTAATAAAAAAAAGTTATTTTAAATTAAATCATTGTATAAACTAAATTTTCTTTTAAATTTACAATTAGATTCACGTGGAAAATTGCGAATGTCAACCACTTTATTGTGTAAATCAATGTGGCATGAAAATGTTACGTAAAGAGGTTTGAATATTAATCAAAGAAACAGTTTCATCTAAAAGAACTTGTGTTATATTTGGTAATTAAATTAATTTTCATATCTATTCATAGATGTCGTACCATATCACTGATATTTGTGCTAATACAATTATTCCTTGTCAATACTTGAACATTGGATGCAACTTCAAGGTAAAAAATACTTATTTTTTAATTCTTATTCACTCCCAACTAGGGGTGGTGGAAGGAAATATTTGGGTGGGGGCTAAAAATATTTTGCAAATTTTATAGAAAATTTATTCTTTTAAGAATAAATGAAAATTAATATTAATTTTCATTTATTCTTAAAAGAAAACCACATGCATTCATTTTCAATAAAGTATAATACCTAGTGGGAAAAAAGACGTTGAAAAGACGTCTTTAAAAGTCTTATTTACGACGTCCTTTAAGACGTCTTTTTTTAATCGATTATGCAAATCTAAAAAGACATCTTTTTTCGACATCGAAAAGACTTCTTTTTTTATCTTAATCTTGTCATAAAAGACATAAAAAATGCGTCTTTAAGACGCCTTTTTTTAGTCGAATATGCAAATCTAAAAAAGTTTTTTTTCTCGGGGTCGGAACGACTATTTTGCCATACTTATTAGTATACTATAGTATCGTATGGACTATAGTATTCCTACTTTTCTTATATGAAAAGCTATTTTTTTCAAATGAAAATGATAATAGCTCTTCATACAAAGTATAACAAAAAGCTTTTTTCAATGCCGAGAAAAAAACCTCTTTTTGATGTCAATATAAAAAAGGAAGCATATTCTACATCTTTTATATGTTTAAATATAGGAAAGTAATTTATTAATAAAACAATAGTATTGTTCAACAGAATATTTTTTCATCTTTATCTTTCTTTTCTGTTTCTTGAGCGAGCTCTGTTTCTTGGCGTTGTTGAATAAAATTAACAATTTCACGTTGAGAAATCCTTTCATACAAGCAGGTTACGACTTCTAGCTGGTTACCACTTCTAAAAAACGAGTGAACATAAAAAACAGTCTATTGCTTAAATGTAATACAAAAAAAGCAAACGAAACTTGATTAGCTGAGTGGAGCACATTATACTTACCGATTATTAATTCAAAAAGGGCTGATCCTTTTAATCCACTCATGTTTTCAGCGCGGTCCCTTTTTTTTGAACCCACTAGGTTAGATTAAGACAGGAGTCAAACGGTAAACAGTCTAAAAATATATAAAAATGAGTGTGCTAAATAAATTTACAACCATCAAAATGACTGTACAACGATGTATTTTATTATGTTGTTCTTAAATCAAGCTAAACATTTGCACCTCTCAGATTTGCTATGAAAGCCAAGTTATTGAAAACAGATATTGATATTTTTCTGTCTTCTATAACATGATTTTTTAATTGAATTTCGCTGAAATTAAGTGTTGTAGACTCATAACAATTTAAAAATCCGTAATTGACTAAAGACAAAACAAAAAGATAATTCAGCTAATACACCTTGAGAGTTGTTATTCATTTAAACTAGAAAAAAGTATTAGTCAAAGCTCTATTTTAGCCTGAAACATAAGGATGCTTTACTTAACAACATAAAATCATAAAAACTGGCGATATCATTAGCAACACAGATGAAATACACATAAACAAAAATGAAGACTAGAAAGCTGCAATGATGTTTAGATATAAGAAAGTGTACCTTTCCAGTATTATTTTCACTTGGTTTTTTGTATCCAAATTAAAAATTTTGCGAACATTTCTAAAGATAAATCTGTTGTCATTATGTGTATTTTTATAATTGCTTTATTAATGACAGACAAAAGTTAACAAGGAAATAACATATTTAAAATAAAAGTTGAAGAGCCAATCTTTTGTATAAACAGTTTCATCATTCAACTAAATAAAAACAACAAAATTATTCAGATCATTTAAAAATATATATAAAAAAAATTGCAAGCCTACTGAATGCTTCTTTTTTTCTATCGTTCGTTTCACTGGCACTTGAACAAGTAAATATAGAGAGAAATTGTTTACAGGTTTTATTTTTCGTCTGAAAATAAATATTTTAATTTAATATGTATTAAACAACGTTCTTGAAGCACAATACATTAAAAATTAGTCTAAAAATAAATGGTAAAACTTTTTTAAAACACTTACCTGCGACTAACTTAATTGAGACTAGATCATATCGATATCATCTTACTTACACCACGCCATCCACTTTTGCTTTTGCTTTTTCCGATTAACATTTTTTAGCTAAGCAGCTGCAATTGTATATTTATTTCAGTATATATATATATATATATATATATATATATATATATATATATATATATATATATATATATATATATATATATATATATATACTATAATATATATATATATATATATATATATATATATATATATATATATATATATATATATATATATATATATATATATATATATATATATATATATATATATATATATAGACGTCTTTCCACGTCTTTATTTTGGTTGATTATAAAAAGACATAACAAGTCATAAAAAAGACGCCTTTTATTCGTCTAAAGATGTCTTTTTTTCCCACTGGGTATCAACTATAAAAATATTTCACTAAAATTTAAAATTAAAAGAATATGTTACAATTTAAAAGTAATTTAACGTTTTCCAAAATAAGAAATTCTGGTGTCTTTACTTTTTCCATTTATAAAACCTTTTGCTATTGCTTTTGCATCTATTTCCACGGTATTCAATTTATAAAAATGAAGAAGTAGAAGACGATTTAATCGCTTCTGAGTCAAGGTCGATCGACTTAATGAATTTATTATTCTTAGATGAGAGAAAGATCTCTCGGTTGTGAAGGTTGTCAAAGGTATCGCCAAGTGAATTTTTAGAAGTTTTGATATTTCAAAAAATATTATTGAGACTCCTTTACAGTCATTTGACATATCATTTATAGTTGTGATTGATGTTACCCGTTTAATTTTCAGAAACTGATCGAACACATATAGGCATTTGCTCAATGCCAAAAATGTTTCATTGCATATTACAGAAATAAAAAATCGATTAAATAGCATTAAGTACATTTCTCAACACATAATTTGCCAGTAGTTCTATCATCTCGTTAACAATATCATGAGACACGTACTTACTGTTTGACAGCCAGCTCGATAGAGGTGGATAATTTTTACTCCTCATTAAAAGTAACTGATTAAGATTGCCTTCAACTTCATCATTCCGTCGAATAGCTTAGCCTTGTTGAGTAACACATTTTAATGTAGAGATTACACGATTTAAGTACTCGTAATGCTCATCGCATTGCTTATCATGCATTTCACTTACTATTTGATGTATGGTTTTCAAACCTGCTACACGTAGTGCAAATAATTTTTCCCGTGCCTCCTTATAAAATGATGATAGGTCGTGTTTTATCAGTCTTTCTACAGCCTTTTTCCAATTGTCATAATCAATTGTCAAAATATTTTGTTTACCGCATTTTGAAAAAGATACCATATTTTTCTTGACAGCACAAATGCTAGTATAGAAAAATACTTTCTTTTTAGAATGATATAGATGAATCCAAGGGTAGTCTATAATCCATTTTTCATTGAAAAATCTAAGTTTTTTGCTATACATTTTTTTGGTGCTTTAATATCGGCAGGATTTAGTTCTGTTTTTTCGGCATTCCACTCATAGCAGGAACAAGCAGGAAAAGATTTTTCAATGTCGTTTCCTTCTTGAACAATTTCTTCCGTTGGTAAAGTTGGACTTGAAGAATACTTGTCATTTACAAAGTAAGAAATGAGCAAACACATAAAATTATTATTTCAAATACAAAACGCTAATTGCTACCTAGAAGCTTGTAAAACGTGATTCGAACAAAATACGTTAAGTTAGTATCTCAAATACAAAATAGTAATTTACCTCTAGCGGCTTTAAGTTGGTATTTAAAACAAGATAAAAACTTTTAAAATAATAATTTTACAGACTTTAAAAGTATGGAAAGGAGGGGGGAGCCTATAATACCAAAAGCCCCCACACTTTTAAAAGTAAGGGGCTGAAGCTTCCAAAGCCTCCATTGTTTCGCCACCCCTGCTCCTAACAAAGCTGCAAGCAACTGCTATTAAGTTAAGAGTTACTAGAAAATAAAGAATAGAGATCAAAAAAATGGTAGACCAAAAAAAGTCAGTCAGAAAAGCATGAAGAATTCCAAACGGTTTTACTGCTGGGCTAAACTTACGAACAAAAATTTACGAAAAAAAAAGAGAGCATGCAGGGTGTAAGACTATGAAAATAACGATAAAGGGTTGCAATCTTTTTTATAACAATAAAGAGAAGCAAAATTTTTGCTTAGCAATCAATCGTATATGTAATTTCCATAAGAAGTCAGTGATAAACGATAATCCAAGAAGACGTAAAGGAGAGAACTTAGTGAGAGGGCAGCCATTCATCAATATAAAAATGTCAGCAGTAGATAGTTGTTTGTAGTAATTAATGAGTTTTGTTGGAGTTAAAATTCACAAGCCCTGCAAGCACCAATCAATTACAGAGATGAGATCAGAATAAATATTTGGCTGTCTGTTCTAAGCAGTCAAAAAGAAAAGACTTTTTGTCAAGACAAGAGTATAACGTTGATTCTAAATTTAATTCTGTTAAATATTTTAATAATTTAACAGAATTAAGTTATAAGAATATTTAAAGTTCTTCCGCAATGTCTTTTCACTTTATTTCTTAAAGAATTAACTTTCTTATGGTTTTCACAATATCCTTTGTAATAAGTGTTCTCTTTTTTCTTACTCTCTCATTTTCTATTTGTCGATTAAAACAACATAAATAAAGCTTGAATAATATATTTTTTAATTATAAATATAGTAAGGTATGATTGCACGTGTATTTCCTTGAAAAAGTTTTCTCTGGATAAAAAAAAAGCATTTTTTTAATATGATTTAGTAACTTTTCTATTTTTCATTGTACTAAATATAAACTTTTTGTTGCAGTTAATATAAAATCAAATAATCAACTTTCCAACCCGCTTTCCAGACAACCCGAATTATATACCTTCTCTACTCAAACTTATGTCTTGTTTCTGATCCTAGTCAGCGCTCAGTTTCTCCACATTCACCCTTAGGTGCTTCTGATCACGGTTTGATCTCTCTGAAACTATTTTCTCATTTTTCTTCAACATCAGAATCACACTATCATCGTACCTTATACAACTACCTTAATTCTGACTAGAACTCTTTCCGTAATTTTCTTCGTGGTGGCCCTTGGGTAGAAATCTTTTGTCTTTATGTTGACTAATGTGCTTCTTAAATAACCTTGTGGATTCAAGCTGGTATAGAATCTTTTAATCGTTCTCGACAATTCAAGTCAAGCCTCACTCTTACTCCATGGTTTTCCTCACACTGTGTAGCTGTAATTTCCAATCGAAACCATTACTTCCATATCTATCAGCATAACAATGTTTACTGTTGCAAGATACCATTGTAAAAAGGTTTTGTCTAACGCTAAATTCAGTTATTCAAAGGTCATGATATCTCGTGTTTGATTACAAATATTACGCTCTCGTGACTTCTGGAGAAGCTTAAACTGTATCAATAATAAGAGCAAATCTATTATTCCACCTCTCTTGTATGGTTCAGACTTTGTCATCTCACTTAAAGACAAAGTTAAATTGTATGCTAAGAACTTTTTATCAATATCATCTCTTGATTCCACTAGTTGCGTTCTACTTGATAAACCATTCAAACAGGTTGATCCATTGCTTGACATTCATATCAAAATTACAAGAGGCTTGCGAGCTGCATGTTGCACCCCTTGTATAAACGTTTAAACAATGTAATGTAGACAATATACTTACAATGTAAGTTATATGAATCTTTTTTGAATGCACAGCAGACTGAGGCAACAATACCTTTGAAAAAATAATAGCGTTACGAGTCTTGCGTGTAGTTATTTAGATGTGTATGTCTGGTCTTTTTAAAGCACAAAACAGTTTTTAAAAAGTAGGAATATAAATTATAGGATAGGAATTAAAATAATGAAGGTTGAGCGACTATGTAACACAGAAGTGCAAACGCTGCCTAATTTTCCTTTTTTTAAATAGTTAAATTTATAAAAAAAAGTAACATATTCAAAAAAACAAAAACCCAAAACGGTTTTAAAAAAGTAGGAATATAAATTATAGGATAGGAATTAAAATACTGGTTGAGCGACTATGTAACACATAAATGCAAATGCTGCCTAATTTTCCTATTTTTAAATAGTTAAATTTATAAAACAAAGTAACACATTCAAAAAAAAAGGACAAAGTATTGATTTTAAAACAATATTGGTACCGAGTAGAAACAGGACGTAAAAAAGACGTCTTTTGATTGTCATTTGAAAGTTTTGAACGTCTTTTGAACGTTCAAAAGAAGTCTTTTTTAAGTTCTCGTGCCTATTGGGGAGAAAAAATCTGTTAAAGTGTTTTAATATATTATGACATCTATCATCAATAACCTTTTATTTTGTAAATGAAAATACTTTTTTAAAAATGATATAATCTTAATATCATTTAAGCTTTTATACGATCCGTGTAATATATGTAATTTTTTATTTTAATTTTTGTTAATATAGTTGTGATAATATGTTCTATATAAATAATATAAACTAGTTGTGTTAATATGTTAAATTATGCAGGGAATGAGAAAAGAACAACATACTCATGCCAATTCTTCAACACAAAACCATCTTTCAATGGCAATATCAAAAGTAATTGCACTTGAAAATAAAATTATGTTAATAGAGAAAGAAATGGAAACAAAAATGACCGTTCTCAAAAATGAAATGGTAAGAAAAAACTTGATAAAAATGTTTTCAAAATAAAACAAAATTAAAAAAAAAATAAAAAATGCGCATCTTTTTTATTTTTTTTTTAATTTTTTTTAATTTTGAAAACATTTTTATAGTCGTTGTTTTTGTGGATATTTGAAAAAAAGGAAAAGAATATAGTTTGGGAATTAATTTAATGGTTTTAACTTCCAAATAACAATATTTTTGCTATCCAATATTGGTGTTGTCAGATTAACTGTCAAAATAATAAAAATATAAGTAAAAAAATAATAATAAAAGTATACCTACGGGCTATTTTTTAACGAACAAAACATTTTTAAGAATATAAAGTGTTATGTGACAACTTTTACTTTTTTTCTTAATTTCAAAAACATCTTAATTTAGGTGTAAATTTTATGGGATTTCTAAATCTGCGCAAAAAAAAGAAAAAAAAAAAAGAAATCCGTTTGCTTAGGTGGTGGGCGTTGTTTTGAACAGATAAATAACTAAAGAATGATTAATTCAAAGCATAAAACTGTAAAATATATATTTTATGTAAAGTTTTTAATAACTTAATTTTGCTTAAATTAGTTAAAATTTTTTTAAAAAAGTGTTTATGTGAAGGTTGTTTTTAGAAATCAATTTTATAAACAAGAAAATTTAATTTATTTTGAAGAATTTTATGAGTATTCCGAATCTTTATATATATATATATATATATATATATATATATATATATATATATATATATATATATATATATATATATATATATATATATTCACAACTACATATTAGTTAAAGTTGCCCGTTGCTCTTGTGTTAAACTTATTGGTAATTGAGTGAAAGAAGTTTTCTGTAAATCGTGTAGGAGCTTATCTTATTTTGTATTTTAGCATAAATATACTAGCATAGATATTATTTGATAAATGTTTAGCACTTTCATTTCTTTAAATAAGGGTTTAGCATGTGTAAGCTTGTTTTTATGAAATATCATTCTAGAAGCATGTTTCTGCCGTCGATAAAGATACATCATTTATTTCTTTCGGGTGCTTCCCCAAGCAATGCTAGCGTATTTAAGATGAATAAACTATGTATGCAAAAGGTTCCTAATCTTAAACAAACATTTGGTTTGGATTTACATAAATATGTTAAAACATGGTTTAATATATTGGAAATATTGTTTACATACATATAAATAAACTTGATGGTTGTAGACAGAATTTTTCTATCTGTTCTTCTTTTTTTGTATTTATAAATATTGTTTAAAGTTTTTATAGTTTTATAATATAATCCATCTATTTGACCATAAATTATGAAAATTTACAACGATATTTTATAAAATCACATAATAAGGTTAGGGGAAGGTTGCGTAAGTTGAGCATGTTTTCAGTGTAATGCCTTTTGCTCCCAAAAGATTACAAAAAGATATATATTTTTTTAAGAATAATGATAATTTCATCTTTCCTCTCAAAGAATATAAATAAATATTTCATTAAAAAAAAAAAATCTTTATTCAAAAAATTGTGTTTTTTTTTTAACACACCCAATCATTTCATTTTAGGAAACTAGTTTCCTAAGATGAGCATTTTTTAACGCAACTTAAAAAAAGTAAAAATAACAAAAAAATAATCACAAAAAAAATTTAATAAAATTGTATCTTTAAGGACTATACTTAAGTAAAAAAAAAATAATAATAAATCTTTCCAATCACTAAAAAAGTTAACGATACTTTTTTTAAAAAAATATTTCGCTTTTGAAATACCCAAATAAAGTTCCGCGGAGAAAAACTTTAAAAAAACGCGCTTTTTATTAATAAAAAGCCGGATCTCATCTTGAGCGTCTAAAAACGTATCATCTTAAGGAACTTCATCATGTATTATCATAATTTAAATAGCATGACAACAGCTTATGTATTATCTCATGTAACCCATGGAACTAGTAGTAGATAACCTGCTCATCTTACCCTAGGTGTCACTCACACAGCTAAAAAGTAGTCAATGTAGTGATACCTAAAAAAGAAAAACAAAAAAATAACCAAAAAAAAAAACAAAAAAAAATACAAAAAAAAAAAAAAATACTATAAATAAACATAGACAGAATTAAATAAAATTAAAAGAAAAAAAAAAAGAACAAAAAAAAAAAAAAAAAAAAAAATGAAAAAGAAAGGAAAATAAAGCACTAATAAATAAAGATAATATTAATATTTGTAATAATAATATAATAAAAGTAATAATGATATTAATAATTATGTGAATAAAAAAACATTACAAACAGTAACTATAACATAATAACTTTACTATAAAATGGTAAAAGTAATTATGACAGGAATTATTAAAATATACATAACATTAGCAAAAATTATGACAATAACCATAAAACTATTACAACAATTGAATCACTATCAGTATCATTATAAATTATGTTAATAAGATTTATAAATCAAACGTAAATTAATGATAACAGAAATATTAGTGGTTAAGTTAAAATAAAAGTAGTTTTATAAATACAGTAATATAAAAAAAGCAACAATAGTAAAAGATAAAATTAATATTCATTAAATATATTCTCAAATAGAAATTTTTTAGTTTGGTTTCAATTAAGAAGAAGATAGTTAGTAATAAAAGGGTATTTTGTTAAAATCTTTTTTTTATAAATTGTGTTGTTAGGTTCCAGTGAGATATTGATGTTTTATGTAAAACTTGATATATTTAATAGTGTTGAAAAAGGAAGTTTGCAGTTAAAAATTTCAGTATTTCGAGTGTAATGTTTGTGAGTGTCACTTGTTTTATTAAAAAAATTATTGAATGAATTTGATAGTTTATTTTGAAGAAAATAAAAAAAAACAAACAAAAGAGACAATTATAAAGCTTTGATCTTGTAATTTTAGAATTTTAGAAAACCTATTTTGGATTTTAGATCGTAAAGGAGAAAATGTCATAAATCTTAAGGAAGTGCGTTGTAAACTGTTTATACGATGTAATAGAAAGCTACCTTTATGACCTCAAACAGAGCATCAATAACTTAGATGTGAGGTGAAAAAGGAATAGTAAATTGATATTAGAGTATGTTGGGGAACATAGTGTCGTATTAATGACAACATTCTATTGGCACGTGAGAGTTTTTTATTTAATCGAATTAGTTGATAGCACCATGGTAGATTTTTGTCAAGAAATATCCCGAGGTACTTTATATATTTAGATAGGAAAAGTCTTTTACTGTTAATTCTTATTTACACATTATCACTATCAATCTTTGATTTTTGGAGGGTGATAAATAACAAATTCAGTTTTATTGATATTTAGAGAAAGACGGTTACTATTTAACCAATGACATAAATGATGGAGATCTGAATTAACTTTTTTACAAAGCTGCGCAAGTGTCAGCGAAACGATTAACAATTGAATTATTTGAATGAGGCAGATTGTTAATATGTATTAAAAACAGTAAAGGCCCTAGAACAGAGGTAGGACACCATACTTAATGGCTTTACTTGTGTATTGAAACTCAGTAATCGAGACAAACTGAATACGATTTTGAATATTGGATGAAAAACAATCATTAGCGTTACCCCGTATACCATAGTGATACAACTTTTTAATTAAAATCTTATGGTTAAGTTTATCAAATGCTTTTTGGAGATCAATAAAGACGCCACAAACAAAGAACTACTATCAATTGCACCAAGAATCATTTTAGTAATGCTAATAAGTGCATGGGAAATAGAGTGTTTTAAACGAAATCTAAACTGGCGGCCGTAGATACACTCATAAATATCAAAAAGTGGTAGATACAAGAGTAAATTAATTTTTCAAGAAATTTGCTGAAATTTGAATCGATAACTTGAAAAAGGGTAAATGTCCTGCAAAAATTCCCATAAATGTCCTCTTTTTCAAGTTAGCGATTCATTTGATAATAATAATTGTTATTGCAGCCAAATTTTCAGTCCTTTTTATGGATTAGTTTAACAAACGCAGCTATTAAAATATCAGGGAATATACTAGTAGCAAATGAGAGATTAAATTAATTATTGAAAAGGTATTGAAAAAATATCATTAGCAAAAAATTTTTTAATAAAGGCTGGCGTGCTGTTTGGACCAGCAGTTTTGCCATCAATTAGAGAAAGAATAACTGATACTATTTCACTTTTTTCAGTAGGTTTAATAAAAAGAGAGTCAGGGTTTGACGTTTTTAAATACTTATGGATGTCAGTATGGGATGAATGAATATTTTTTTGCAGTTCTTTAGGGATTAAAATAAAAAGGAGTTAAAAATTTCTGAGATTTTAACTCGATCATTTATAATGGTATTGTTTAAAGATATACAAGATGGATATGAGATGTCACTCGAACGTACATTCAAAAGAGTTCTAATACCCTTCGACGTAGCACTCAATCTATTGCTATTGGGAGTAAAGTAGTTAGAAAAGTGTTTTTTTTATGCTTCTTCGCATAATTGTTACAAGTAAATTTCTATAGGTTTTGTAAGTTTTTTCAAGAATTAGTTTGTCCTGAAGGTTTTTTGTTTTAAGGAACTTCTTAAATATATCGTTTCGTTTTTTATCGAGGCTAAAATTGCTGAAGTAATCCATGGTTTAGCGGTGCGTGTTTGTCTAGAAGAGAGTTAAAGCTAGTGAAGAAATTTTAAACTAAAAACCTAATTTATTATTATTATTATTATTTTTAGGTGCCCCAAGAAGACCTAACGGTCTTGTCACAGAGCACCGCGGAAGTGAATTTAACCAGGAAGTTCACGCCTCCTTCCTTACCGTGACGCGAAAATATGTCCAGAGCTCGTTTCGAACCTGGATCTCCTGCTTATAAAGCAGGCGTTCTAACCACTGCACCACGGCCGCTCTAACCACTGCACCACGGCCGCTTATTTAAGAAATGAAATTTTATATATAACATATATATATATATATATATATATATATATATATATATATATATATATATATATACATATATATATATATATATATATATATATATATATATATATATATATATATATAT